ACCTTTTATTTTTCACTAGACAACCTGGCTACTGCAAAAGGTAAAATGTCTTCCTTCCAATTCCTACCAAAGAGAGACTTTCAGTAGCTCTGTCCTTTGCAAATCAAATCAAGCCCAATTAAAATCTGAGCAGAAAGCAACCATTTTGCTCTATATGTTCTTCTTACTGTGTATATTCCTGTTTAAAAATCTCTCATGTTAAATTATTAGTTAAGTTTATAGGAAAGAAGATATTGAATATTATACTAATTACATGTCCCTTGACAATATTAAAATCAAAGTTAAGGTCAATCACATCTAGACACAAGGAATAGGAGGTTACCATTCTGGACTATTCCTCAAAATGTAAGCTTTAACAAAATACACCACTTAGCTTAAATTGTTGGTCATTTCTAAGGACCAGTATACGTGATCAAAAAACTCCCTCCAATTTTGCTGCAGAAATATCTAGTTAGAAATTTGCAGGTAAATTGCAGCTCACAGTCTAATGTTTGAGTCAGTGTAGCACAATTTATGGCCACAAGAGGGCACTAAGACGACATATAAAACTAGACACCTTTTCATTTATCATTCAGCTGCCTAACTATGAACCAAATGTGCTACTAATACAAGTAGCTAGGAGGCAGGATCCACTGTGCTTCACAGCAATATGAATCCAAACTGTAAAGGAAGATACCCAGCTTTTATGATGCTGATGCAGTAAACTGGAAATTCTGCAGTAGTTTGATAAAAGCTAAAATATGAATGTTTTCAATTAACGAATTATGAAAATGAATAATATAAGCAAGAAATTGGCCTCCGCCTTATTTATTTTGAAACTTCATTTGATATAGTTTCTATGTGCTACGTACATTTTAATTAACAAAATGCAAGATTGTGGACGGAGGTTTTGGCAGCTGGTCAGATAAGAGTTGGGAGTTTTGGTGCCCAAAAATGCTGGGATGCAGGCCGTGATTATGAGATACCAACATCAGATGGAAGTAGTTGAATAAAGATTGTGGATAAAATGCCACATGTAGAATTCTGAGTTAACACATTATTGCTGTAAATGGAAGACTCCACGCCTCTAAAACTTATTGTTTCAGGATACTCTATACTCACATGGCAACTTTGTTTGCAATTTTTTTTCGGTACTACAAAGAAGCCTAGTGTAGGACAGGGCTTATGCATCATTTCACATTCAGTTCACGATGAAAGATTTTCTTTTGCAAGGGAAGGTTTAAAAAAAAAAAAAATAAAATCAATATGTTATTATACTGGTAAAAACCCAGATTCTGAAGGTCAGACACAGCAGCAGGTAATGGCTCTGGTGAAAAAAAACAGCTACCACAGAATCCAAGAATGTATCACTACTCAATATTTTTTTTTATTTCTGTAAAATTATTACAAGCACATGCGTGAATATGTGCACATCCATCCATGAATGAATGTATGTACACATACACATTTCTTAGGCATACTGGAATAGTACTATTGAATCTACATAAGCAGCTTACCTATTAAAATCAAGAACATTTGGCAAGGGCATATTTCATAAAGCATTTACACTACCAAATATATCAATTTGTGAGGATGGGCAGAGAAAAACAAAGGAAATGGAGAAGGCGCACAGACATAAAAGTTAATGAATACTTATCATCAAAACCTTAAGATTTTGTAATTATCCCTATGCAAATCTTCTCCAACGTGTACTAGTAAAAAGATTTTATTCCACACACAATTAGGTATTTTAGGAGCAGAAATTGAACAGCAAGATAATTAGTTATCATTGCTCATGTAACCACATAATCACAGACTAAAGCACTAATAAGCACCTAAATGAGTTAGTTCCATTCATCCCAATGGACTTAAACATTTCTTAAACCTATGTTGTGTTTGCCAGACCAGAGCCAAAACCTCAGGCCTCAATTTGGAAAAGACCCAAAATACATCATTAAATCTGTTCTATTTCTGGCAAAACACTCCCCTAACTTAAAGCATTTGCTAGAGCATCAGTGAAGACAATTAGATTTAAATACCCTATCTGAACAGGGATGATTTCCAGAATAAGGCACCTATATTTTTATGGTTATGTTCACTTAATTTGTTTCTCAAATTTCCCTCATTATCCTGAACTGTAACATAATATTTTTGAACAGAAACAAAACATCTGAAAAAAATTAAGAACTGGAGAACAGAGATAACTACTGTACAATAAAAGTTTCAGGAGCTTATAAATAATCAAGCTTTAGATTAAATTGCACTTGTACATGTTCATTAGTCTATAAAATGAGCATGGAAGTTTTAAAAAAGAGTCCAGTTCTTTGTATTAAATAGTTCAGGTGAAACTATAGATGGAAATTCTCTATCAGACAGCTATGTAAGTTAGAATTACCAATAAAAAGAGCCTTTATTACAATAAGACAATTTATTCTCAGCTTCAAATCCCTGCCCCCCCCCCCTTTTTTCTTTTTTACTGTGGAAAGTTATATATTCTTTTTAAAGCTTTAAATCCCATACCATAATTACTGCCTGCCAACATTCCCAAATGTTACACTCAAAGAGTCCAAAGGACCTTTCAATTACCAATGGAAATTCCTAGGTTGCACTGATTAAGATTTTTTTGGCCAATACAGATGGCCAATTATTACCCAGCCATATGCCGGCCGACACCAATCCAATAGCTGACATGCATCCCGGCAGCTTGGAATGCAGCATCCAGCTGGTAAGTCTGTGGGGGGGGAAGGGGCATGGGGGAGGGAAGGGGTTGGAGGCAGCAGATCGAGGCCTCCACAGTGAGGGAGGGAGTGGGGCTGTGGCAAGCACTGAGCAGCCGGGGCAGGGCACAGCTGCAGACGACTTATCCGGGGGTATAGGGAGGGGCAGCTCCCTGCCAGTGAGCACATCCCTGGGCATGTGCCCCCCAGATTTGTGCGTGGGGCAAAGATGGGCTGCCTGCTGTAGGCTTAGGACCAGGGGCTGTGCCGGCCTGTTCCTGGCAGGGGGGCTGAGCCAGGGCTGCATTTGGGGCAGGCAGTGGTGGTGCTGGAAAGGGGTGCTACAGCAACCACCCCATAAACCCACCTCCCAACACCACTGCCACCCATCCCGCCCACCCCGAGTGCAGCTTCGGCCCAGGCCCACCACCAGGAAGAGACCAGCACAGCTCCTGGCCCTGAGCCCACAGCAGGCAGCTGGCCCTCATCCCATGCACAGCAGTGCACACAGCAGCAGGAAGCCGACCCCTCTCCTCCCACCCACAGCCCCTGCATGAGCCGCCTGCAGCTCTGAGCCCTGCCCCACCCCAGCTGGGAAGCGCCTGCCCCTACCTCAGCCCCACTCCCTCCCTCACCATAAGTAAGGGCTTCAATCGTACCCCCCACCATGCTCCTTCCCGCCTACAGTCTCCAAGCTGCTGAGCTGCATTCCTAGCTGCGTACATGCTTGTAGCTGCACACATGCACGTGGCATTTATTGGTGACATTATCATCTACACCAGCCAAAAAAAGCCAATTGCTGATAATGTCAACTTTCCTTTTATTGGTGCCAATCCAATATGGACCAATGCATCAGTACCTGCTGCATTTATATTTTAACAGGATACACATTCGTTTTTCATTTTAACAGTCTGTTTCCCAAATATGCTTGTACAGAATCCAAAGGTAGAGAGTGTCCATGCTAATTTTTTTTCAAAAAACACTTATTTCAAAGGTAGGTACATATAACTGTGCACATACATTTGTATGTCCCTTAATTTAAGTACTAGCATTCAATGAGCATGTAATCGCATACTTTTATTTGAGATACTGTCTTCATACCATAGGTGATGGCATCAGGCTAGAAAGGCTCAGCTTTAAAGAGGAGAAATTAAATTCTATATTTGAAGGCTATTAGTATAATCTGGAGAAGAGTATTAGGAAACTGTTTCAAACAAAATCTCAAATGCTTAAACCTTGTTTGTATGGGAGGGAGGCAGGGCAGGAGAGGGAAAGACTCACCTGGATAAGCAAAATGTTTCCATCCACCTAAATTAAATAGATATCTGCTCTTCAAGAAACCATGTTTTTTTGTTTTTAAATAAAAAGCTATGGGGACCCTAACAGGCACTACATTTGTCACATGATTAATGTGGGTTGGAGACAAGACAAGAAACGTGTGTGTCAGATATAGGGGAGCCGATTGTCTCCCCAGGCTCCAGCACTTTTAAATGTCTTTCTTCATCCCCTCATGTGGCCTAGAGGACAAGGCTGGAAACATGCTGCCACACTGCTTTTAGGGTCAGGCAAAGGGCAGCCCCCTGGTACAGGATGCAGTTGTCCCATGGCCAATCCCCAGGATCAGGGAGGGGCAGCCCTGTCCCCTTGTTCATCTTATCATGAGGGTTGGGAAGGGGGCAGATTCAGGTCCCTGATGATAGGTTTCCCATTCATCATCAATTACAGTTGCCATCCGAAGAATTTTTCGTGCATGTCAGGCATAGCAGGCTGCACAATTTTTGGGCTTGGGCACAAAATTTCTCAGGTCCCAATTTGCCAGGGACTGTGTGACAAATGTAGCCTTCACAAAAATGGCTCTGGATTTTTCCACTCTAACCCACAAGATATAGCAGAAGAGAGAATCAGGTGAAAAGCATTTTTGTCGGTCCTGTAAGAAAACATAGAACTTACAATGTTAGTTATGCTACAGTGCAACTCTCAAACATCTAGGGAATTTCCAAATTGCACGGATAGAACTGTAAGAGGAAAAACATTTCATATAATCTTTTCAGTCAAAAGAAAAAAATATCAATACTTAAAGTTTAGAAATCCTACCATTTCTTGTGATGTATAGTTTGGGCTTTTACTGTCTGCTGAGAAATAGGAAAAGTCATAGGTAAATGTTTTAGTCCGTTCCCTTCCTGTGTCTCCAGTTACACCTTCCAGAATCTACCAGAACAAGAAAATGTGTTTGTATGATATGAAATGATAAAGTAATTAATGCAAAGGATACTTGTACCATAATTTGATTAGAATACAAACTTAATACAAAAGCATACACAGTTAGAGAATCCTGAATTGCTTGCCCTGTTATTCTAACAAATATTTAATAATGAAACAATTAGCTATTAATATCAGAAAATATGGCCTTCATATGCTATATTAACATAGTGTAAACATAAAGCTCTTTAGATTTCATCTTTGAACTGTTCATTTTTATTATGTTGCTACTTCATAATATTTAAGCATGATTAGTTATCAAAATGTGAATTTCATATACATAATTTAAGGGATTACCCCACGCATTTACTCAATGAAAAACACTTCACTGTGTATAAACCAAATAGTATTTGAAAGGCAAGATGTAATTAAAATGGTCTTACATGCTGCAGATAAGCAATATGTACTAGGATCTGTCTCAGCCTAAACAATTCTCCCTCAAGGGAGGGAGTATAACCTAGCTGGGATAACAGGGGATTGTGCAGTCATAATGGATGCTATTCTCACAGTTTTGCCACCTGTATCATCATTTGATCTTGGGGAAAATAATTTAGCGTCTGTGCCTCAGTTTAATCACCTGTAATTTTTTTTTTAATAATTATGTACGTGTCACAGGCGGATCAGCTTAATGCTTATAAAATACTAAGCCAGCCTCAAATGAAAAGGTGCAATAAAACCCACAAAAACAACATCAGGAATGTCAGATCATGTGACAACATTTACTATTTAAAAATAGTAAGAGGTTAAAGAACTGCTTTTTTTGTGAAATAGATGAAAGACATATTAACTTGCTGATTTCCCCAAGTAAAAAAAACAAGGTTATTTGGCATAATGTCAAATTCCAAACCAAACCATTCAATTCTTATTTTTTTCCAGCTGTGCTTCTCCACTGCATGCCATGCTGCGAAATCACATATATCACTCTTACTTGCCTACTGGTGAAAATAACAAGAGATTATGCTTGAAGTAGCATTTTAAGGCAAGTTTTCACCAAAAAAAACCCAAAACCAAACCTAAGACATGCTTTCATATTTATTAAATGTTATACATTTATCTTCCATCTCAGAAGAAATGTGTATTAAAGACAATCTTCATATAGCCACTCCATATATAGCTAATAGTAACCTACCCAGTCCACTTTCTATACTATTTCTCCACTCTGAATAGCTGATGTGACAGCATGATTTACGCTGGAACAGGACATTAGTGCAGAAGATGGTAAACACAACTGGGACATAGACCCAGAATGAAAACAAGTGTTGTGTATAAAAATAGTTATGTGCTGAAAGTCCTTTTTACAATTGCCACTGGGAGCTTCTGGAACAGAAACATACCCTTATTCTTTAAGTGTTCTCAAATCTGTCAACATTCTACTTGCCTGACCTGATCTGTTTTCCTTTACCAAGAGAGAGAAATTGAACTAGGTTATTGCATCATCATAGAAAACAATAGGAGAGTGGATTTTGCACCTGATGTAGTAAATTTTCATAACTGTTTTCGAAGGTTCCTTTTACATTAAAACAGTATTAATTTATTTTCTACTCTTAAGATTCAGCTACGTGAATGGCTAGAACCAGACAACTTGAAAACACCTACAAGATGGATCCTATGGAATAGCTTCCAGAGAACTAGAAACTAGTGCACCAATAAAGATTTTTTTTAGGCCGATACCAAAGGCCGATTATTAACCAGACATCGGCCGATACAGATCTGCTTGCCAATATGCAGGCCAGCATCTTGGAGAGCAGTATCCAGCTGGTAAGTCTCTTGGGGAGAAGGGGTAGGGGAGGGAAGGAGCATGGGGGGCAGATCAAGGTCCCCATGGCGAGGGAGTGGGGCTGAGGCAGGGGCTGCACAGCTGGGGTTGGGTGGGGTGCAGGATGGAGCCACAGCTCATCCAGGGGCGCCAGAGGGGCAGGTGGC